AAATATCACGACAAGAATTTCTAAATCATCATAATCAGATATAACGTATGATAAAAAATCATACGTTACTAAAAGTAGTAATGATGATCTTTTATTTAATGAAAATGTCGCATTTATCGAGAACAATTTACTTATCCTAAAAAGAGGGGTTGGCTTACAACTTATCGCGCGACTTTACATAGGTTGGCTGACTTATCAAGGGATTTTTTTAAATAGGGAAAAAAAGGGCTGAAAATTTTTGGCTGAGTTAGGCCAAAACCGACTTATCGAGGGACCAATTTATCGAGTCTACCTATGTATAAAAATAAAATTGATCTAACCTACCTAAATGTTTAAAAATATTTTTTGGTATAATTAAAGAAATGACTTTAAGGTATTTATAACGTTAAAATTTGTATAAATTTAGTAATGATCCAGAAATAGAATCACAAGAAATTAATAACGAAAATAATGAAACCAGTTCTAGTCAAGAAATCTTAAAAGCTACAAACGAAGCTCATGTTATTGGTGAACCAATTGCTACAGCTACTGCAATCGCAGCTGTAGCCTCAGCCACAACTACAACCACTAATGCTGATACTGATGCTATTACTACTGCAACAAGTACTACAGCCACCATAACTAATAAAAATAATTCAACCTGGTCTTTTACTGTTAAAAATAAAGTTGAAAAATTTGTTGGTGAGCATTTACCTGAATCATTGATACATGACAAAAAAATTGTCAATGCATTTAACAAGTTAAATAAAAATGTCAAATCTAAGCTTAATGATAAAGAGCTACATCCTGAACTTGACTGGGATGCAAATGTTAGATTATCAAATGATCTTTGTGACAATGAAAAAATTTTCATCAAAGAACGAAAAAACCATATTCGTGAATCTTTTGCAAAATATGTTGGTGTTGATGTTGAGGAAATTGATGTGGATGATATCCCTGTTATTGGTTTTGCTGGTAGTGGTGGTGGTTTTAGAGCCACAATTGCTACTACAGGTTATCTACGTGCTTTACAAGATTCAGGCCTTTATGATTGTGGAATGTATTTAGCAGGTAAATAAAACATATCCCCTAATAAAAATAAATTGATTGTTTATTTCAAGTCAAATACAACTTTTTTTAAATAAAAAATAGGTGTAAGTGGAAGTTGTTGGAATATTGCACTTCAATATTCTTCTAGGATATCAAGTCAAGAGAATCCAATTGAAACATTACTAGAGCATTTTAGAACTCGTTTAACAAACCACATAGCTAGTCCAAGAGGTCTATTCAAGTTACTCAAACATTCGCCAGATCCTGAAAAGGCTGTTGAATTGATATTTGGAGGTTTAATGGAGAAAAAATTATCTGGTGTAGATGTTGGTATTATTGATGTCTATGGTGCTTTATTGGCTGCAAGATTATTATTAGGTGATGATTCACAAACCCAATTTAAAGATTTTAAATTAAGTGAACAAAAACGTTTTTTGGAAGGTGGTAAGAATCCATTGCCTATTTACACTGCGTAAGTATATACATATAATAATAATTATCATTAATGATAATATTAATGATAATTGAATTTATGTTATTGTTAAGTACTCATCATGTACGTCCTTGGAAAGATTTTTTGAGTAAGGAGGATGCATCTTTAATTGAAAATTATAATAAAATATTAAAAAATCATCATAATCAGAAAGATCATTATCGATGGTTTGAATTTACTCCATTTGAGATAGGGTGTGATGAATTTGAAGGTTAGTGTTCATTTATAACATCCCTATGTCTGTCTATTAAATGAGACATGCTA